CCAGATCCTCGTTCCCAAACCCAGCAGGCTGCTCTTCCAATACTACACCAGCTAGATTATGGGAACTGTAGTCCAACAATTCTGGGAGGCTCCAGATAAGGAAAGGCCTTGCCAGATTAAGAGCTGAGATCAAAAGAACAGAAGGTTGCCTGGCAGTGAGTTTGTGGTGGACTATGATTAGGGCCAGTGCTTTCTGGCTTGAAAGAGATTGCTCTTACCATTCATAAATAATATTCCTGATTTTTACAAAAAAAAAAAAAACCCCATTCCCACAGGCTCTGGGCAGCTTACAACCATTTTAAACCAGCAGCATTAATGTTGATGCAGACATATCTGTTCAGGCTGCAACCCCAGTCCAGAAGCAGAGCAGGGGAGCAGATGTGGAGCAGTGAAGACACTTGCCCCAGCCACAGCTAGTCTTCCATCTGAGCCGCTCATGGCCTGTCCTCTTGTCCCCGGACTGCCAATTGGCCATCAGCAATGGGCCTGCTGATCCTACAGCGCCTACACAATGTCTGCACATCCACCCATGTGACCCCTCCAAACATGTCAGGAGCGACCTCTGAACTCAACTGCTCCTGCCTCCAGTTTCCTGCTCTGGCCAGTTACATTTCTTCCAGAAATGTCAAGGGTGGGCACAACAGCCATCGTGCTCTGCCCTTTGCGTGCCCTGCATCTGGTACGCAGGGCTCTCCTGCCTGGGGCCTGGACTGGAATGCTGGGGAAGTTAAAGCCAGTGCTCATCACCAAAGAGGATCAGCACGGGTGCAAAATGGGCAGACCCCACTGCCAGCGCTACCTGGTGCCCTCGACCTGACACGCCCAGTATCGGCTGCCAGCACCAAGTGGGAGGAGAGAGGAAAGCTCAACCCGGGAACAGCTTCTCGGTTCCTGGAACATCCTAGGAAACGGTGCACAAAATTGTGCACCCACTTTCTAGGATACTCTTGGGATCCTCTAGGAATGAGGTTTGTGTGGCAGGAACTGCAAGCTGGTTTCTAGCGTGCTCCTCCCGTCCCCGCCCTCCTGGTTTTTAAATCAGTGGTGGGCAGCCGAGAGTGGTTAAATTCTGTGTGTCAGTAGGTGTGTGTGTGAGAGAGAGTGGGAAAGACGTGACAGTGAGCAAGAAAATGAATGAGGGGAGAAGTGAGTGGGGATTGTCCATGTACGAGGGTTGCATGAGGGGCCAAAAGGAGACCCCAGCCCCTAACAGATTATCCCCAAAGGAATGCAGCAAATTGCTCACCCGGGTTTTAAACAGAAGTTTTTAAAATATTAGACTGTAAATGAGACAAGCACAGTGTGAGTGTGAACTATTGTGTGTATGTACACACACGTGTAACATCTAGCACTTGATGCAGTCCTCAGGACTGTAACGTTTATGCATGCATGTTTATGAAGGTGGTTTCTATCCTGGAATTATGTGAATACAACTTTTTATCTGTTCTAACTCTGCTATTGACCACTTTAATCGGGCAAGCCTGAGCCCTACTAATATGAGAGTGAAAGAAAAAAATACCTTAATCCACCCTCTCTCTTTAGGGGCTCACAATGCGCTTCTCCAGCTACATTTGTTTTAAACTAAAACTTCCACATAGAATATTTTAGTCTTTTACCATAGCGAAAGTGCTTGGACCTCTAGATCACCCTATTGTCCTTTTCTATACTGTTGCCAGAATTGCAAATGTGGCTGCACCAGCAGTTTCAAAAAAATGCATTATGATATTGTCCACTTCCCTAACAATTCCTAATATGGAGTTTTCCCTTTTCACTATCAGCACGCGCAGAGTTCGACAGTTGTTAGCTAAGATCTCTTTCTGAGTTAACTGCTGCCAGTTTGGACTCTATCAGTATATATTAACAGATTTTTTTTGCCCTGATATGTATCACTTCAGACTTGCATACCATTCCCATTTTATTGCCCGTTTTCTCATTTTGCAGAGATGTTTTTGAAGCTCTTTGCAGCCTGCTTTGGTATCCCCAGTCCTGAAGAATCAGCTGTCAGCCTCACCTCTGCTTCTAGATCAGTGTGAATAAGTTTAAACAACTCTAGTCTAGCAACTTCCAATACTCCTTAGGAACCAGCATTGCTTACTTTCTTCCATTGTCAGAATTGCCAAGGATTTCCCTTTATGGTGCCTTTGCTGAGCTTTCCTCGCAAAAAGCTTGTTTTCTGAGATTTGTAAGAAGTTGAGCTTCAGACATGATTGCCATCCGTTGATCCCTGCTGATTCCTCCTTTGCTTGTCAGGGACTTAGGGTGCAGCCCTTTGCACATGGGAAGAGAAGCCTACAACTCCCAGCTTGCTTCCTGAGTAGGCCTTTCTTTCTTCCTGTAAGATTGGGTCCTTAAATTTGTTTTGCTAGAGCTTGAGGTCTTTTGAAAATTTCTTCAACTTGCCAAGATTTCTACATTTTCAAGAAAACCTTCAGTCTTGTAGCTTCATTGACTCTGGAATGTAACCACAGTCTCATCATCTGCGCCCTTCCTAACCCAAGATGTCCATAATAGGGGTTTTAATGTTATCTACGTTTTCTTCCTATTGTGAATTGAAGCAGTATTGGGGGAAACTCCAGGACTACGACAAAGGCAAAGGTCCGGGGTGACAGTCATAGCTTCCTCTCCCCTCCCCTCCCCTCCCCTAATACTGTTACAAAGAAGCATCTAGCCTGCCTCTTACACAAGGACTTGGGTCCTGCCCAGAGCTAAATTAGGCACCATCATTCCTCCAGGTAGTTCCGTTAATAATTCTTCAATTTTTTGTTATATCCAGACATTTTGTCTTTATCATGACCTGAATTTACATCTGCGCAATAACTATGAGAGTAATTAAAGTTATCCATCCCCATAGTGCTTTCCCTTCTTTTGGCACCTCCCTGATTTTCCTCCAAATGTGCCTTGTTAGGCACAGCAGATGAAGGAAGGCGCCTGGGCATCCATGAAGCTTGTCTTCCCAGGCAAGCAGCCCGATCATATTTTCTGCGCTTCAGCATAGAGGCTGCTTGGCCAGTCTCTACTCTGGCTGGGCCCTTGACTTGTAGCAGGGCACCTCCTCATCCATCTGACCCTTGGGTCGAGCGGGGGGGGGGGAGGCATAGCTCAGCAGCAGAGCGCAAACGTGAAGAAGGTCCCAGGTTCAGTCAATTCAGGGATGTGGGGCAGCGGGGAACCTGGCTGGAATCCTTGGAGAGTCACTGGCAGTCAGGGATGGCACATCAGGCTAGATGATCCAGTAGCCTGACATGGCATGAAGCAACTTCCTGTGACCAGCCATCTGACTCCCCTCTGCCCACTGTGGATTATTATATGAACCTACCTGTAAAGCTAGAAAGAGGGACCATTAACTATATCCACTTACATTTTGATAGAAGAGGCTTAGATAAATGAGAACATCTTGCACTGAACATCTGCAGAAAGCACAGAATTGTGGATTTGGAAAGGGCCACTTAGGCCCTAAGTCCAATCCCTTGCTCAATGCAGGAATCCGGTTTAAAGAAACCCTAACAGAAGATTGTCCAGTCTCTGCTTGAATATTTCCACTGATATAATGCCTGCCATCGCCCTAGACGGTTAGTCCCACAGTCTCACTGCTCTGACCATTAAGAAGTTTTCCAGATGTTCAGCTGAAATTTGCCTTCCTGAAGCTTAAGTCCATTCTTTTGACCCCTAAAATCTTACATGATGGGGAACACGCTGCATCCATCTACTGCATGACAATCCTTCAGATATGTGAAAGGTGCCATCACACCCCTCCTCAATCTTCTGAAGGTTCAACATACCCAGTTCCTTCCTTCTTTCCCTATAGGACTTAGTTTCTAGTCCCCTGATCATTTTTGTCCCCATTCTCTTTAGTCCTGCCAATTTATCTGCATCCTTCTTGCCATATGGCATTCAGAACTGGAGATCACATTGGAGGTGAGGTCTGACCAGTATAGTGTTTAGTGGAATTATTCCCATGATTTTAAAACTATACTTCTACTGATGCAATGTAAAATTGCATTTGCCTTTTTTGCAGCCACATCACACTGCTGACTCACACTCTGCTTGCGCTCAACTAAAGAATCAATCAAATTTGAAAGAGATGTCCCTGGTCTTGTCATCTCATTACTTGCCATTTTAAGTTTCCATGTTATGTAACACTTATTTTTGTCATCAGTGCTGACATAAAGCCATTTCACACATGTCTTTCCTAATATGAGTGTATGCATATGTTGATTATATAATAGCACCTTAGGGATATAGGTATTTTTGAATAATTGCTCTCTCTCTCTCTTTCTCTTTCTCTCTCTCTTTTGCCACACATAAATGCTGAAGAGGTCAGAATTGCCTTTTTGGTTTGAAGTCGGTATATGCAAAACTCCCTTTTCCTTACAAGCTTATTCTATGGTGACCTTCAGAAATTGATTAAAGCATATCAGTTTCTACATGCTGGAGGATGTAACAGAGCAAGTGATGTGGCCAGTACCATTTCTGAGTGACCACCTTAAACCCACAGGATTAGGACCTAATTAAATCTCAGGCAAACCCCTTGGAAATTACTTCAGATGGAACCTGAACCTCACCCTTGAGGGCGATTGCCCAGCATCCTAACAAAGCAACGACAACATGAGAATCGCTGATGCTAATGTTCATCTGGATTTGCAGGTGCACCTGCACTGGGTTGCTCACTTGCGCCCCACTTCCCAGTTTAGATGATGCCGTTGGGGAGGGGGAGCAGGGTGTGCAGCTCAGCCTCAGCTGCCAGCCTAGCTCTCTAGGCACATTGCGGAGGTAACAGCATTGTTAGCACAGGTGGTTCGTGGAGCTTCAGGGAAAACATTCAGAGCCATCTAGCCAATGCAGACCTCACCTCCTACTTTAAGACAGAAGCCAGCACATAACAGAAGCGTCTCCTTCCCCCAGAGTACTAGTCTATGGCTTTTGCCAGCAACTGGGAAAAGGTATGCAGGGGAAGTCGCATGGATGTAGATGCTTTATGGCCTCTTTCTTCCTGATCCCAGGCAGAGCCAGCCTGTCTGTCCTTTCCAGTCATGTGGATTTAGACAGCCCTATACGTCGGCGCTCCCAGCTGGGGCTACTTTCTCCAGGTAAGTATCAGCTGCCTAAGCCAGGACATACTGCTCTGCTTCTTTCGCAGTTCATGCCACACAAGCTTCCAGCGTTCAGGGAGAGACTCTCAGGCTTCTGGGTGGCAGCAATAGGGGAGGAATCCTGCTCTTTCAGATGGATGGCTTGCTTAAAAAGTAAATTGCAAACTTAATAAACTCCCAGAGAGGAGAGACATTATCTGGCTTTGGTCAACCATAGTAGCGGGGTGGAGAGAGAGAACCCTCACAAAGATACTATCACGTTTGTCTTCTTGTGAGTACCACAACTGCAGTTTAAAACCACTGTAGGCTCCTTTACCATACATCTGGAGATGGAAAATGGTTTTTAAGAGAACTGAAAGTGTTTCGATGAGCGGTTTCACATTTCTTTTGTCCCAGTTTTCACTTTCTGTTATTTTTTTCCTCTCCAGATTTTTGAAACAATGCAAAAGCATGCAAAAGCTTTTGACCAAAGGCATAAGAAAACCTGGGTATACATAGCACAAGCAGTGATCCCCTTTCCAACTGTCTTCACCTCTCTATAGCACACTGCCAACAGCCTCCAAAATAATAATAAAACCCCCTTCACAACACTGAGGAGCAACAGGGCACCTTACTGCAACTGCTGTAATGGTGATTTTCAGCTAGCAAGAGTAAAAAACTTTTACTTAACAGTTGGTCAGAGACCTGGTAAATACAGATGATTAGGTTCTTGTCCTTCCACACCAGATTGCTTCCACCCACTTCCTTCTTCTCTCAGTGCACCAAAATATATTCAGTTCTGAGAAGGATGCCTTACAGTGTTCTCTTTTCTCAGTTAATTGCTTGATGGCACCCAATAAGAGTACATCAGCTAGCATAAAATTTTATAGTATAAAATTGCTCCCTTCTCCACCGCAGAAGCGGATAGCAATTTTCAACAGCTGATGATTGCAATACGCAACTTAAATGGTTGCATGCAGTAGATTCGTCTTACTTGTCCCATGGAATTCAGTGGGTCTGCTCTAAGTAGGAGTAACATTCATGGCTATGACTCCAAATACCTAGGATAATTATATTCTGTAGGCCACACCTGGAGGATTGCATCCTGTTAAGACCCCATGCAAAAAAAAAAAAAAAACGTCAACTGACCTTCACATTGCTCCCTGGCTTTTCTCTTCAGTACACCTGAATCTGGCCACTTCAGCATGAACTTACCTCAACAGTACAAGTCCCTATATTAGGTCTGTCCCTTGTGCCAAGTCATTGGAATGATCTGAACTCAACTTCCTGTCTTTCCATTTCTCCTGGGAAGGTCTAACTAGGTCGAGGTGTCACTTAGAGGGAGACTACGTGTGCAAGCACTGCGTGTTGCATCTCTGCTTTGCTTTGGCTCTGTCTCATGCTAATAAGAGTGCTTAAGCAGTGTCTTGATGAAGACTTGCTGGGATTATCTCCTGGAACAGCCCTAGGGAAAAGGCACACTGTTATTGTCGTCGCTGTTGTTGTTATAGTATTGTTATTAACTTAGCGTTCAGCCTGCCCGAGGCACCTGCTCCTGTCTAAGAATCTTAATATTTAAGACATATGACTCTGCACACTTCTTTACTTGGCTGACCATTCCTGCTCCACCATACCAGCATTCCCACTTCCAGAGAAGAATGAGGCAGGTTTTGCAGACGAGAATGCACACCTCGCCAGATAACGATCACGCTCCAAGCCATGCCAGTAGATTAAAATCCAGCATCGTTTCTTTTTGTGCCGACAAAGCTAATGAACAGCTGCTTGTCTCCCATGGGCAAATCTGCTGTCTCAAGCATCAGTCATCAAGCTTGTTAAATGGACAGCATCATTCTTCAGTGCTGGAAGTATTTTCTCAATGCAGATGAAGGATGTATAAACTATTAATCTTCGGGAGCTGATATATAATCACGACACGAGCATTGGCTCTGCCCTTGATGTTGCCTTTGCACTCAGAATCTCTCCAGAAGGAAGAAGGCCATTCTGGTACAGCACTCACAGTGCAGCACCGGGGAGTGGGACTCACGACCTGACATGGGGGGCTGGCCAAAGTAAAGTTGGGGTGCCTTGAAGTGCTGTTGGTATTTTTTTTTTTAATGACCAGGGCCTAAATCTAAAATGAATTTAGCCGCTCTTAACAATGTCATTAAGACCATGGATTTTTGTTTTCATGGCAATTAAAACCGGTTGTCTGTGCAGAGAATTGTTAAGTGCAGCTTTTTAAGTTGTATCAAACACCCAATTGAGTCTAGTAGCCTTTCTTTTACTAGGGGCATTGGTGAGAAAGCCCCAAGTCAGGCTTGGCATTGCCTGAAGTCAAGGGGTCTCCCACTCCAGAGATGTCGAAGGCAAAAGTGGACAGTCACCTGTGTGGGATGATATGACTTGGTATTATTCACCAGCAGGGGTTGGACCTGATGGCCTTCCTGGCCCCTTCCGACCTCACCGTTCTATGAATCTCTGACTCAGCTTTGCTGTAAGCATCATCAAAAGCCGGGTCAGAGCACTCTTGGGCGTTATTTGTTCAGGAAGAAAGTTTTGCAGTCAGAAAGTCAGGGTCACCTAAGATAATGCAAATGGCTTGAAAGGGTCACATTTTGCATGTGCTGTAGACCGAATGATGGATTCACACTTGATGGATTCACTATGGAGATAGGCAGGGGGAAAACAACTGCAAGGTTGCCATCTAGTGGGCACCCCAACTCCTGAAGCATTGAAGAGCAAATCATTGGGCAGCGCAGGACTGCGTAGGGTCGCCCTTGCCAACTGCCCCTAAACAGCCTGTCTTACTAGAACGACCCTATACCAGAATGCGGGAGCAGCCAGAAGTATAACAGAAGCCTGGCTGCCGGCTTTCCCCACAAACCTTTAGAAACCCTGCACACACAATTCTGCTGTTGCCTGTCTTTATTGTTTTTACTTTTACTGCCTATCTTTCCTTCCCATGCAAATGTTGCTGCTAAACAGACTAAGGAGCATTTTTTGAGACGGTCCCCTCTCTGTCCTTGGAGCCAAGCCCACCTGCGCACCAAACCCACGTGGGCTGTCATATGTAACCGGTTTGGGCAGTCACAGAATGCTTTCTATTGCAGGATCACACATCCCTTGGTGCTTGGCTCTGGGATGCATACAACAGGAATTCCACACCCGGGGATCACCTCTCCCTCTGGCAAACAAGAAATTGATAACTATGACCGAAGCATGTAAGTGGCCAAGTTTACGGATAAAGTAAATGTTGGAACGACATATGCCTTCCATCCAGTTTAGGTCTTCAAAGAGCAGTTTGTTAATCCTCAAAACAGGTGTCGGGGGGTGCCATTTCTAGTGGGGAAGTTGTGGGCAGGAGGTTGGCATTTTGCTCTTTTACCGCCTATTATTTCCCATACCCCCAACACCTGTTCGGAAGATTAGCATAGGACCAAACTACACATCTGTTGGAAGGGGAGCAAGGCATGCTGGCTTTCTCTGTTCCCCTGGAAGTGAGCCTGATTTAGGTCCTCCTCTCCCATGGTGCTTTGGGAGAGGAGGATTTATGCTTTCCTCCCACTCCTTTTTCCTGAAATTCCACCACCACCTCCCATCAGAGAGGGTTAAAAGAGAAAAATACTTCCCTTGGAATCAGTTGAGGTTTCTTTTTTCTGTTTCTGAATACTTCCCCATGGAATTTTCCCCATTTAAAGTAAATGGGTGGAAGCTTAAATTCTCCTCTTCTGAAGTACTATGGTCCCAATCTGAGTCATGGCTGCATACACTTACAGAAGAGTAGACGAGATTTAACAAATATTTTACTTAGCCCATAGACTACGTACAGTACTGCAAAATGCATATAGTCGTTGGGATGGTTCTTGCTTGAATACATCATAAGTGAGATCTGCCTGTGTGGAACCAGATCAAAGGAAGGGTTTAAATGGCCCAGCACCATGTTCTCTGCCAGTAGCCACTGGAGGTGGCCAGTACTGCAGACTGTATTCCACAGGTTTTGTTTTTAAAATACTTTTAGATCTAAGCTTTGGCTTATGGATATCAGTCTTTTTCCCATTTGTGACTGTGAGTGTCTTGTTTTATCAAATGTCTCTTTTCTGTTTCTGGCAAGGAAATCGCAACCAGAACCAAAGAGAGAGAAGGAAGCCAAGAAGCCCACTATCAAAAAGCCCCTTAACGCTTTTATGTTGTATATGAAAGAAATGCGGGCAAAGGTCATTGCTGAGTGCACCTTGAAAGAAAGTGCAGCCATCAACCAGATCTTAGGAAGGCGGGTAAGAGCACAAAAAGCGAATGGCATTATTTTGACCAGGAGGTAGGAGTTCTGAATGCTCTCTGGTGAATGCATTATTCAACATTTCCCGAGTTGGTGGTCCTTAAGAATTAGACAGCATCATCAATCTACTGCTTCATGGGGCTAAGAAAGCAGGATGATAGAACAGGCAACTTGACAGCCATCTGAGAGGAATAGTTTCACTTGAAGTCCTGCACTGAACAGTGGGTTAGACCCAATGGCCCTTTGGCCCTTTCCAGTTCAAGTATTCTGTGATTCTTTGGGTCACCTTATATGTTGGACGGTATAGAATTCCAAAGGGTCAGTTTGGACATAAGTTCAGTATACTCTAGTTTCTAGGGCAACTTAGTGCCTTCCAGATATTTTGACTTGCAACTGCCAGAATATTTCAGCATTGGCTATGCTGACTATATGATGGAGGATCACCCCATCCATAGAAGCTTAATGGGCAGCGGGTTGCTAAGCTGCTCTTAGGGAAATCATGTTTAGCAGTGAAGTTGGTGTGTGTGAAAGATAGACGGAGAGACAGACAGACAGACAGACTGCACCAGTTTAGCTGAGACTAATAGCTGTGGCCTACACAGAATACCTCAGGGTCTTCTGAAGAAAATGTTATGAAATCCAGGCTTTATTCCTAGTAGCCTGGGAAGCAAAGGAATATAAACGCATTGACAAAGCTTTCATAACCTCTGTCCTTTTCCTTCATCTTCTGCCTATTTAGATTAAATATTTTCCAAGTCTGTCCGAGTGCCTTTTAGCACTTTTGAAATCTCCCATAATTAATTTCATAAGTCATCTTAAAGAATGTGCTGTTGCTACAGGAGGAGCAGTTAACAAAAGCATTTTAAGCCTTCCCTTTCCCTGACTGTTTACTAGCCTTCCACCCATGGTGGATTAAATTTCATTCCTCATGTCTTCCAACCATAACTTTTATTATCTGGGATTTTCAGAAGATGCTGCATTACCAGAAAATTCAAATGTCTGCAGAGATTTTTTTACAAACTCCCAGCAAACATTTCTAGATCTCTTTTAACATGTAAATGGCTTTAGGTTACAGAGGTCGTGTCCCCACAACTGTTTGAAGCAGGTACCAATAATTTCCACTATGTGGGTGGGAACCTAAGGCAAGAAGCTGTGAACTGCCCAAAGTCACTCAATGCATGTATGCTGTTTGAGCAAGGAGCTGACCCTGCATTTCTTGGGTCCGGGACTGATGGGCTCACAGTGTTCTCTTGTGGAAACAAACAACTTAGCCAAACTACTTTAAATTTAATCTTGAGATCACTACATGCTGACTCTGATTTTAGAGTCAGACAGCAGAGACTTGGTTTGTATTTTGTTGATTCTATACAAAACAAGGAGACAAAAAAAGAAATGTTGGTTTAGTTTTGGGTTGGCATCTTCCTTTCGTCAAAGCAGCTTCATTTTACTTGAGCAATGTATGTGCTTCCAGGTTCATGTCTAGACTAACAGACAAGTGTGTTCTGTTTAAATAAAAAAGGGGTGTTGAAAGGGGTGTTGCATGACATATGACAGTAGTATCTACGTCTGAAAATTTTGGAATACTCAGAAACTCTAAAAGAAAATATTGCAACATTTTTCTCATCCTTTGTTTTAGAAAAGAAAACTATAGGTAAAGAGGGTGAGGGGGAAGGACATATTACATGAAATGTTTCTTCTAAAACCCTGACATATAAATGCCAGTTTCTTTTGTTTGTTTCTGCAAATCAGGTTTACTTGACACATAAGGTGGGTTCACGCAATACAACAAGCTATGGAGGATTCTTGTGCAGGGGGGTCTGTCATACCGTCCACACCCTATCATGGTATTTCAACATGGTACATTTGGGTTTTGGAAAGAAACAATGGTCAGTTCCATGGTTTCCCTCTGATCATCCAAACCAGCATCATGGTTTCCACAGTCCTGGTATACACCTACTATAGGGTCTCCTGGAAAGAGCTGCTGCTGCTGCAGGAGCCTCTCCAGCCATCCAGTGTGGGATTGAGTTTCAGGACTGATGGGATGCATGCGAACAGTGGGAGGACTGAGCGAAGAGGGTGAAACCCAAGCTAGCAGAGAAATCATTTCATCTTCTGTCAGGCACCTCCAGAAAAAAATGCATATCATGGAAACCATGCAGGGTTGCTAGTCATGATGTGCGAACCCAGCCATTGTTTCTAAGCATAAAGTCTAATTTTGGTATTTGCAAGTCAAGTAGACAGTCAACGATTTTGACACTTCCTCACAGTTGTCTGTTTTTCCTCCTCCTCTGTACCCCCACCTTATCCACACAAAAAGCAAGGTGCCTTCTAGAATAAGTTATCTCTGCACTGATTCCTTATAGGCCTCCACTATTGGCCATGCTGGTTGTGGCTGATAGGAGCTGCAGTCCAGCAGCAGCTAGAGGGCTGCAGTTTCCACACCCCCATATGCACAGGATCCAGTCTGGAGCTGTTCTTTTCTGATCACAGTGACGGTACTGAAATACACCTTGGTGTCTCACTGCTTTCTCTGCTTTCCATGGCAGTGGCACGCGCTTTCGCGGGAGGAGCAAGCCAAGTACTATGAACTGGCCCGCAAGGAAAGGCAGCTTCACATGCAGCTCTATCCAGGCTGGTCTGCAAGAGACAACTATGTAAGTACCCTTGTGAGAGAATTTGGGGGACGCATCTAGGGGTTTTTTAATGTTCATCCTTGAAACTACCTGAAACCTATTTCTCCACCTTTTGCCAATAATGGTTTCAATGACTTGACTCAGTCAAACCATGCAAATTCTGCGGGAGGCTATAGAGGAGCAATCGCCAAAGGGTTAGGTCAGACAGGCGCAGAAATACTATGCACAGAACATCAGGCTGCCATGCAACCTTACACTGCCGAGGCTGCCATTCAGTGGCCCCTTTCCGTGCAGATACGCTAATATTATATTGGGTGCAAACCAGTGAAAATTAGGCATACTTGATATCACTATCTATGACTGCCAGGGCACTGGATGTCTGTGTTTGATTTTGGGTGGGCCCCCCCGAAGAAAGATTAAAATATGGAAAATGCAGGTGGTGGTTCACTGTGATGTTCTAAACAGAAAGTTTTGAGCACATTTTTTAATTTCATTTCTATACAATGCACAAGCCAAAGCTCTGGGCAGTTCACAACAATTACTTACAACTATGTAAATAAATTGAAGCTTCCTTTCCCCTCCCCCCCTTTCTTTTCTCACTACTTTTTCACTTATTTCTCTTTCTTTGGCACTAATTCTTGCTTTTTGTTTTTCCTGCTTAATCACTCCCACCCTCTTTTTTAAGGCTTTTTCTGATTTCCCCTGTTGCATGGCTCGCTTATGAGATCTCTGCCCTACTTACGATGCTGCTGCTCTTATTTATCCCATTCTTTATTCAAATCCTTACCTTGATCCTGTGTTCCTCTTTTGTTTCCTAATTGCCGTTTTGCTTCTTTGTTACATCTACTTTGAGAATGCTTGAATACCTTGTCATTAATCAACAACACCATTTTCTCTCTTCTAATGTACTGTGTGATCCCTTACAGTCTCAGCCTTTTTTCAGGGTCCAACTGCAGCTTCTCAAAAACTGCCTGAGGCCTTCTCTTCCCCCCTTGCACTTGGTCCTGCTTTTACTTTCTTTTAATATTCATCATCGCTTTCATACAGATGACTTGCAGTTCTATTTTCTTCTCGTCTTACCTTTCTCCCTTTCATCTTTTTTGTACTGTGGCATGGCTTGTTGCTATTTCTGACTAGCTACCTTAATCTATCTAAGATGAAGTTGTCAGTCTGCCTTTCTGCACCTGCACCTCCTTCCACTTTCTCACACACTGCATAATTTTTTAATAGTGGGTACAGAACACTAGAGTCTTCTTTGACTCTCTGCTTTTTTGCTTTCTTTTATGCAATGTATTCCAGCAACTTGTAATTTCCAACTTCTAAATATTGATAGAATCCATTATTTTTCATCCCCCTTCACTGTAAAGAAGATGCAAAACAACGGCTTTTCCCAGCTTGATTATCATTATTCCCCTCTTTCTGATTTGCTTATCTTTCAGTTTCCTTCTCTCTTTTCTGTTTTTAATACTGATGCCAATTTTGTTTTTTTCCTCTGTGTTTCATGTCCTCCTATTCCTTATCAAATCCAGCTTTGTTACTTTTGTTATGTAAATCTCTTTATTTTTTGGCTTTGCCTTGCATATCCACTCTTTCCTCTTTATGTGCTTTCTAATTGTTTCCACTCTACCTGTACTCTTTTCTTTTATCACTTGTGGGTTACTGCTAGGGAAGTTGGAGAAATCTCCAATGGACTCAAATGAGTCCAGATTTCTTGAGTCTGTCCCACAGATTCCACTGAAACTGGCTTTCCAAGATCATACAGTCTACCAGGCTTGCAGAAAAAAATCATCATCACGTGCATTTTTGTACAAAATTGGCTGTAGAAAATCACACAAAATAAAAAAACACTTATCAAAATGTACAAATCTCCCCTGTAAGGTATGAAAATGCCCCAGATAAATATGCATTATTGTTATCATTACAATGCATTTATGTCCTGCCTTTTTTCTTCATGGAAGAATTCAAGGCAGCTTATCCTCACAACCACATCCCTATGAAGTGGGTTGCGTGGAACCCAAGGTGACTTAAACAGCTCTTTTTTATCTTCACAACTACAACTCCGTGGGGTGGATGAGGCTGAGAGTGAGTGAGTGGCTCAAAGTCACCCAGTGAGCTTCACGGCTGAGCGGGGACTTGAACCCAGCTCTCCCAGGTCCCCAGTCTAACATTCTCACTGCCACACCACACTGGCTCTCCAATTATGAAGAATTTGTGCTCTTTCAGGATCACATACATTGCAGAAATTCTCAGTCCACAAATGAGTAGATGGTGGAGAGAAAGTGGTCCAAAAATCTGTGACTCTTGGCAAAGCAGCTTTTCTCTCCATTTGCACATCCCCAGTTGCTCCTTCTGCCTCCTGCCCACGTCCTTTCTCTCTTGTCGCCTTTCCCTGGAACTCAGAGGCAAGCTAAGCATTCATCCAATCACACTTAGCAGAGCTATATATAATTGAATTATTTAGTTTAGTGCAAGCACATGCAGCCCCAGTTCAGACTGGGACCTCTGGAATGGGGAATTTAAGCTGCCTCTCCTCCCATTTCTATCCCAAAGTCCCTCCCCCACTCACAAGAGGCATTTTTAAAAAGAGAAAAACAAGAAAATAATCCAAGCACACATAGCTCTGCTATGCACTGATTGTACAAATGTTGGTTTGGTTCCCAGAGCCCCTTGGAATCTGTGCCTCTCCCTCCTTGCAAGGGTAACTTTTACACATTATCTGAAAGTGAATGTCTTTCCCTCAGTCTTTACCCTCTGATCTCTCATTCATTCTGACTCACCATCCCTCTGTGTCCTTTCTCTTAATATTCATCTTGCCCTTCTTTGGTAAGCCTGTGGACAAGGTCCATTCTTTGTAACATAATTGCTGTAGAGCAAAGTCTCCGAGTGCTTTATAAACAGTCACAACAACAAGGCATTAATAGTAATAATTAGCATCAGCATTGTTCCAGGATTTTGAAGGCATTTGTCATGCCACACTCAGTGGGCCCCTTAACTTGGAAGCTGCATCTGGCCTTCCTGAGTACTGTTCGCAAAATAAGAATGATGTGGCTGTACAGGAAGGGAGGTATAATCAGATGCTAAGGTGTTCGGGGGAGACCCAGGTTCTAGCCCCCACTCAGCCATGAAGCTCACTGGGTGACTTTGGGCCAGCCACTCATTCAGCCCAAGGCCCCTCACAGGCTTCTGATAGTGAGGATGCAATAGAGCTATGGATTCCTCGCCAGAAGAAAGAGGGGAGATACAAACACAATGCGGTGACGAGAAGGTGCTGCTCCACCATCCGCAATGTCATGCTGGCTCGTCATTTGGAGCATCATCCATCCACATGTTTAGAAAGGAAAAAGTCCTGCAACTCTCGGTGTTCCCCAGCCAGCTATGCTTGGTGTGTTACAGACTGGAGTTGTGACTAATAATTTATCTGCTTACATTGTAGAGGCATTTTAGCTTAGGGATTAGAACTCTTTTTATTCGCTTAGGGTAATATCGACTTCCCTATCATCAAGGAACAGTTTCTCCCTCCAGGTGCTCACAATGTAAAATAGCAAGAAAAACTGCCAGATAATAGGCATACTGGTTTCTTTTTAATTTATATGAGCTTGAAGTAGATTTATAATCATCAGAAATAAGGCCCTGGAGAGAAATTAAAATGTAGAGAGAGTGGAGGCTTTGCCTATGGGTCCCCCTTGCAGCTAATAAGATAATTACAACCATTTGTGTCAGCGCTCTTAATGATTTATATAAATTAATGTGTTAGAAATGTTCTCACTGGATTACAAGATTTGACATATTTAGTGCGTTTTTGGTGATCCAACTCCTGCCCAGCCAGATTAATATTATTTAGATTCAGCTTGTTCACAGCTGAGGAGGATGTGGTATGTTGTGCTTGCCTTTCATTTGTGCTGATTACACACTGCCAGCAGCCCATTACTTGTCTCAGCTTGCTCCTCTTGATCTCATCCATGGAAGGTGGGAAAGGCAAAGCCTTTCAGTACAGCCCAGCCATCAGCTGATAGTTAAGCTGCGCCCAGTCTCCTTAAATTTGGTGGTGCCTTTCCTTAAGCCTTCTGGTAATTTTGCAAGAATTTTGATGTTGGGGATATAAGAGGCTACCTGAATTAATCCGTACCAGCCAACAGTTTAAATATGCAGTGAAGCCCTTCCTTGCCACTCCTGCCCAGGGAATAAAGAAGATCCACAAATGTGATGGAGTTGGGTTTTTCCCAGAACTGGGCAGAGATGGATAGCTGGGCTGCACTAGCTTCTTTAAACTTAGCAGTTTACTAGCTCACCTTGAAAGGAAAAAAGGTGGGATATAAATATAATATATATTTTAATAATAATGAGCCAGTGTAGTGTAGTGGTTAAGAGTGTAGATCTGGGACTCAGGCCAACAAGGTGATTTGGGCCAGTCACAGACTTGAAGTCCAACCTACCTCACAGGGTTGTTGTGAGGATAAGATTGAGAGCTGTGAGAGAAGGCGAATGATGTAAGCTACCTTGAGTGCTTTAAAAGAAAAAAGGAGGAATATAAATATAATAAATAATAGATCAATAATAACCTATGCCCACTTTGCATTTCCCTTTCTCTGAAAGAGGGGCAGGCTGTGGAAAGGGTTATTATCTGGCCACACTGAGGCCCAGATCCAGATCCTTCAGTGGTAATATACTAAAATCCCAGAAGCAGCCAACCGACTTCCAGTGACCACTGTGCTCCGGTACTGAAAGGCAGGGCTGCCCCCAGACTTGTCTGGCGGGGCAGGAAATGCACACCTGCCATCGGGCACTTTCTACTTTGCCCTAGCTACAGAGAATTGGACCTCAAAGTCTGCAAGCCAGCAACAGGAGCAGCCCCAGCCACCTGGCCAGAGTGTCGAAGAAGCTTGTTACTAGAACTCGCTACAGGACAAAGGAAGTGATTAGATATTCCAAGAGTATATGGAAAGACTGAAAGATGTTTAAGGGCTGAGGAAAACAGCAGAATGTGAGAGGTACCCAGAAAAGGGGTGGCAGAGACCGTGGGAGAGAACTGTCAATTTAGATGTTTTAACAGAATCTGCAGAAAGCCCTCATTCATTCATTAATGCGTACTCTTTTGCTCTCTTGTTGCCATAGCTACTTTTCTTCAATACTTGCCTAATAGCTCTCTGTGGCCAGTCACATCTGGTTGAAGTCCTTTCTATTGACATTTCAGAGTTGATAGATTGCATCCATAAAGGTTTCTGTTTGTTTTTAAGTAAAAAGCCCCAGAATTAGTGGAGTTCCTTCAGAAACAAATGTAAAGGCATAACTGTGAAGTACTCCTCTTGCATATTTATTTTCACATGTTAGAAAGTGATGCTCAGCTGAAGGATTCGGTAATCAAAGAATTTTAGCAGTGTTCTTTGGAGCTGATCACAACTCCAGACAGCATTTTAAGGATCTCCAGTGGTTGCACAGAGAGAGAGCAAATGGGAAACTTTCCTTCCATGAACTTCCTTAAGATAATTTGTCTTAAGAGCCAAACTGTTGCAATGACAACAACCTCATGGTAGAAATTCTTTTTTGACATTCTTGTATCAGACTAGATGCAATAGTTATTCTACAGATGCTGCCTTTTTAAAGAACTGTCTTTATATGAAAGAATTTTCAAATGCTAGGGCTTCAGTATTTTCCACTTTTTAAAAAGTTTCATCTGGATATTAGAAAATGAAAACTACTGTCTGGTAACCAGTAGTCTCTATTCTCAAATGCCAAGTATTATTCACATGCATTTATTTCTGCATCCACATAGATGGAAAAAGCCATGACTTCAATTTTTAGACCAAAATCAAATTTTGAAGTTCAAAAGCAATTAAGTTTTAAGATGTCTTTTTCCCTTCAATAATCTACTGTATTAAACATCTGCCATAGCACAGAGATAAAGTGATAGCCAGCAGCCTACAATAGATATGCAGAGATACATTAATATTAAATCTTCAGAAAAAATGCTGACATTTGTAGTCAACAAGCCACTCCAAGCCAAGGGTCAGTTTTGTTGCAATGCAGGCCTCACACACACACACCCCCCTAACCCATGCCTGATTCTACACACTATCACTTAAAGGTTTTCTTAAAGTATTCACTGCTAGGCATGGCATTCCTCCACGCCCAATGTTTTTTTAAGGAACTGTGAAGTTGCCTTCTTCCTCTGAGGCCCTCTTCTTCAAAGTTTGGGCTGGATCCAGATTTAGTCAGGGGTAACTAGGCTAGCAGCTTTCCGGCTCTCTCCTCCCTCACAGGACTCACTCCAGCCTCTGAAAATGCTACACGAGCCAGCCTGTAGCAGCCTTTCTTGTTAGAAGTAGCGGCTGCATTTCTAGCTAGGTCGTTTTAGGGAGGGAGGTGTCGAGCACCAGCCAGCCCCCTTCTCGGTGGTGGGGAGGATGAGGAGGCCAGGGCAGAGGAAGGAGAAGACAGTGGCCTTCCCCTTTCATGCAGAAAGCACCCTCACTTACATAATGGACTATGCAAAAGCAACATTAACAGACCACTGAGGATGAGCACCAGGGGTTTGTTAGGGACTAACTAAGCAATTGGAAACTAATTGTGGAAAGTAACTGGATTTTTAAAGATTGACTGCTGGGTCAATTTTTCTGCTCAGAAACTCTAGAAAAACCTCGTGCTGAGCAGCACACTCACAGAAAACCAGAAAGGTTGAGTTATAAATGAGTTGGCCAGATGGCCAGCTCACTAAAGTGGGCACAGCAGTATTCCTAGTCTATTTCCATCCAGGAGAACTTGAGCAGTTATAGGGCAATTGTGATCATGAAAAAGGCACCCTCGGTGAAAAACCCTTGAGTGAACAGACCTTTGGGTGCTCTTCCAGATGAGGCCTTTGCTGTGCATGCTCCCTGCCACGTTCACTGACTTTTTCAGAGAATCCTGTTCTTACATTTTTCTGCTCCTAAAACAAGCTGTTACTCGTTAAGTGGCTGCTGTCATGGCCTGCCTTCATGTCACAAATTAAAAATACAGATCTCTAAAAACTTCTCCAGGGGTGAGGGTGAAGCACAGGCCTAGGGCAGGGAAGCGCACCCTTTGCCCCATCCTGGCAGCAGGACTGGGTGAGGGTGGGCAGGGCAGGGCAGGGCAGGCCAAGCAAAGGGTGTGAGCTGTGGGGTCAGGCGGAATTCTGGCAGGGACGTTTTCCAGGAATAGAGCCCTTACGTCCATGGAAGTTGCATCCTCGATCTGGCCCTTCACCTGTCTTTGGTAACTCGAGTTATGACGCTGAGGTTTCTTTCCAACTGTACGAGTGGCTTTCTTTAATTACTCAGTTAACTGTGAAATTCACTCTGCCAGGGTTTTTCTGCATGCATTTTGATGTGCTCGTGTACTTAATTGGTGCATTTTTTCAGTGCCAATTGCAGCTGCTTTTTTAATGCTTTACCCCTTGCTCTACAGTCTTCTTCAGGCTCTTCATCCCGTGATCACACAAAGTTTAACTCAGGGCCCCTGGAATTCAGCAGCACTTCGGGGCCGGTTTCTGCGGCAAGGGTAAGCGAATTCTGCAGCGAATGTCATTCTGCATTACGGCAGTGAGAGTCTGTAACCATCTGCCACTCATGCATCCACCTAACTCAGCGTTGGCTGCAGAATTCCAGGAGCCCTGAGCTTTTCCATGGCCATAGAATTGCTCATTGGCTGTGGAATTTGTTGATTTGGAGGGGACCCTCAATAGGCTATGCGTAGTTTTTCCAGGTGGCTAGCTGTGTGTCAGTGGAAGAGGGTGGATGCTGTCTGCTAGCACTTTCCTTTCTAGAAAATTAGGTCGAGAAGATGCACGAAGAATGTATAGGCTCTACTGATTTGGAGTCTTGTTGCACTTCCATTTTTATGGTACAAGCTCCACCCTCCTGGATCAAACCAGGCCCAGCGTGGGGGGGGGGGGGGAAGGAATCCAATTTAGTCAAGCACCCTGTTTCCAACAGTGGTTCAAAAATGCTTCCAGGAAGTTCACAAGCAGTAAAGGTGATAGCCAGCCCCTATTCTTTGTCCCCAGCATCTGGAAATGATCATGGACTATGAATGTTTATGTATGTGTGCTGCATCTTTCTAGTCTTTTGAAACTGCTAGAATTTTTGTCCGCACATAGCCTTTGCAAGCAAGCTGCTGGCAGGAAGCATGTATCCCTATGCAATAAGCTGCTTTGGACTGTCATGATCTACAGTGGCAGCTGGTGCACTTCAAGCACCTGTCCTTCATACTGAATTCCACCTCCCACAGTCCCAGACAGAAAAGAGGAAAACCACAGGAGGCTCTTTAAAACTCCTGGCACTAGAAGTACAGACATAGTTGCACTGTCCTCCCACACCTGATTCCCAGCAGTTATTTATTCATTCACTTTCACATTCATTCATAGCTGCAGGTCCGCCAGTTCCCAGCAAGGACAACAATAGCAAACATAAGGCTTTGATGACAGTTGTTAGCCTAATCCAACAGGGAAGGCTGGTGTTGGCCCTTCTCTCATCTACCAGTAGTTGATCCCCATTTGGGAAATCTGCTGTGCTTCTGACCCTTCCTTGTCTGGTGGAAGGAATGATGCTTCGGGTAGGAAATAAGGAGGTTTGGGAATGCCATTTCCTTTGATTGGTGCTAACAATTAAGACCCCTTAAGCTTGTTACTTAAGTTACCAAGGATAAGAAGGATTTATGCCTTCTTCCTGCCCAAAGCTTCTTTGCTGCAAGTGCCATCTTGTCCCTGGTCTGTACAGGAAAACCAGCAGCTGGGCTTTAATGACAGGCAGCAGAAGCAGAATTTGCTGTGCTGTACTTATAACAAGAGGCAAGTGCAGAGCATTTCCTTGTGCATGGAAAATGGGCACCTAATCTTAGAAGGCTGGGCTAGAACCTTGGCCCTTGATGGGCTAACATTTTGACATGCCAGGATAACATCAAACAAGCCTGCATCACTACCAAGAGGCATATACAGAATACAGATATGTTAAAAGTAAGTGAAATATGTAAGACAGAAAATATACCCTTTCTGAATGTTTGAAATGGTTTTTCTCCTACTCTTGGAGTGCGAACAACCCAAAAGCTGTAGGTAGTAACTTGTCTTCAATGCCTAATGCTGAACCACTGTGGAAATGCTTTCCAAAACATATTAGAGAGCCATTTGCAATTAGAATATTCTAATACGCATTTAGATCCTATTTCTATCTTATAGCTAAGATGCAGGTTAGTAACAACAATCAAGTTTGAGTTGAGATGAATCCAAATTAGGCACATGCAACTAGGATGTAGGATTTCCCCACATCAGGCTGTTCAGTCCAGCCCCATGGGAACACTACTAAATCAAGTGAGTTGCAGGACAGAAGGGAAGGGAGAATTCCTCAAAAAACATTTTAGTGGAGTCTGTCAACTGAAGGCCAATCCTGGATCCCGTTCACTGTGTTTTAACTCTGGCAATGAAGCCATGTACTAACTAGGCCTCTCAATGCAAGCAAAATTAGTTATGTATGGAGAAGAGTGTAGGAGGAAACAATCTGGTTTGATTTTTGCCTGCTTTCATCAGTGCCTCACTAATGACAAACACATTTAAAAAGTGTTTGAACTTAAAATGGAACAGCCTTTGTTTTTCTTCAAGTTTGCAGTCACATCTCTGAAAGTTAAACAAGGGCTGCCATCCTAAACATTTATTGAGTAACCTGAACACAACAAATTTAGTTGTGAGTACAATATGCTAAGGGGGTGTCCAAATCTACAAATAGTTTGCATTTTTCAATCTGTACATAAGAATAAATCTTGTACCCTAAATTTAGGAAGTCAAGACATTACAAATGCTGATGTGAGATGCATAGTAAAAAGTACAAGCCCTGGATTTGGTACACATGCCTTTATTTGCAATAGCTGATTTTAAATTATTTTACTCAAGGGAGATACCATGCATGCATGCAAAATCTATCACTTACCAAAAAACATGTTTAATTATGCAGTTGTAGTCTATGTGTTGTGTCTGAAATTTGGCTAACTTTCTCTCCATCTTATTATCTCCTCCCCTTCCCCAATTTTTTGGAAGTGCCCTTTTAATAATGCTAACACTCAATTTCATTCTTGGAAGGATTGTGTGTCGGCTGCAGGCCAACACTGCTCCAACATGCCTGGAAAAGAGATCTAGTTTACATCATTCACACCTATTCCATTTGGCATCTGTGCCAGTCCCAGCACGATTAGGGACTGGCACAGACAGAGCAACTTCACACCAAAATGCAGCTTATCTTTGTGCACCTGAAAAGTGTATGTACTGAGCAAATTAGGTTCTTTTCTCAACTTGGGTCACTGCTCTCTGGTGGCAGCAAGCCATGCACTTCCCCTGGTGGGCCATTTTTGGAAACTTACTGCACAAGCAGATGAACATGTGACAAAGGCATAAGCCTTTCTCTGAGCCTTTTCATGTTTAAGCCACAGCTGTGGGCTTATTTCAGAGCTTTGACCAAATGTGTGGAGGCTTGGACCCGCAACCCATAGGGCATGATTCCCTCGCCCCGATTCAGTGCATGTGTGTTTTTAGAAGGTATGAAAAAAGGCTCAAGTCTTTCCTGCATCACAAAGAGGAAGTCAATCCTTGCGCAACTGATAGGCAGCTGGATTGTTGTCATGAGCAAGGATCCCTAAAATGTATTTTACTAGCGGTTCTGAACAAGCTCATAGAGCAGGTATCTCTGATAACAAAGACATTTTTAAAGTAGCAGAGTCCTAACAGTTGTACATGTGGTACAGCACGGCGCTATTCTTAGCCACCACTATGGCAGAACAACCAAAGTCAAAGGGGGAAAGCTCTATTGTCAAGCACAGCCAGGGAGAATAATGTAGAGAGGGGTGAGCAGGGCAGACCTGACTTGTATGGTGCATAGTTCTGTAGGAAACGGCATGCTTCCATTTTGCTGTACAGATATTTTAGCTGCTGATAGTTGCAATCTGCACTTCTTTTAATTTCAGCCATAACACAAGAGCACAAGAGTTGTTGATGTGGCGAGCAATTATCATTGCTCAGTTATCAAGCAATAACTAGCTAACTGGCCCCCTCTACATCTTGTATGTGTTCAAACAAGTCACCTGCATACCTGATGTGGCAAGGTGCACAGACATGATGCTCATTAATGGTCATGTCTTGCCTTCTGCTGAAGCAGGAGTGGCTTCTTCCTTTGCAACTAGATTTCAGGGTTTCATATCTGAAGTTACCCAAACCATAGTTTCCCAGCGGGGGGTCATGAGGGCTTGTGGGCTGGGTACCAGGCTGGTGGCACTGAGAGCTGGAGAGGATGCTGCACTGAGGAGGGGCTATTTCTAGACCATAGATGGGAAGAAAGAGGTAGCTGGGTCCACCCACTGAGTTCCCTTTAGTGATGGTGCTGAGAACTATTGCTATAAATTGTTGTATCTGTCTGGCAGCTTGGGGGCCCAGCTTGGACCCCAAGGTAGAAGGGATCAGATGCTCTCGTTTTACCAGCAAGGAGTTTGGATTAGCAGAATCCACTGTGATTAGATCCAGAGCAAGTCACTTTGCTGGGGGTGGGGGGAGAGTGGGGCCCTCAGTTCCATCAGCAGTTATTGCCTTCTCAAGGAGGTCCTCTGCGAAAACAAGTTGCTTTTATTCAGTGTATGATTTTTGTTCTCTGTTCCCCTCCCCGCCTTTCTTTAATCCTAGGGGAAAAAGAAAAGACGAACAAGAGAAAAACAGCAAGACTCCAACTCAGGTAAATCCACTGATGCAATATCCAGAACATTATCTAGTAACTGTCAGTTTGTTTACATTGGTTGGGGATTAGTTGAGGCAGCCAAACAATAGCTATAATCTTCCTCTAGGTTTTGCATCCATGGCTTAATATGACTAGGGTAAGCCACAGCTATGCTAATACTACCTCTATTTCTTCTATTGACGGGTGACTATCTGTGCTATAAACTCTAATCTGTGTTTCATGTCACATAAGACATAACAGCTATTTCTTCTAGCTTTGCCACTATCTGCCATTGTATCTTCTGTCTGCTCTTCTGTGACATTATCAACACACCAATTAAGAGACAAAGAGTATTCAGCATATACCTTGTTGCTTTTTGACAAATCAAACTAAGTCCCTTCCTCTAGTCTTAAACTTGTATTTGCAGCATTTTGAGATTCCTGATCACCTAAATCTAGATGCAGGTCAGTGTAAAGGCCTCTAGAATAGCTGACTTCCCAACCAAATTTTTTCCCTGCACGTAGTCACACATTGTTCATGAGCTACTGGCTGGTGTCCCAGTATGGCCTACGTGTATGTGTGTGTGCACACACCATAAGTTAAACCTCTAAAGCAGCCATTATCCTACCCTGGCAATTCATATCTGAATCATATCTTTGTCAAGTTATTGTGCAGGACTCATATGTTATGTTACATTCGTTAGCAGTTTAGGACTGATTTTTCATAATAAATGTAACAAAAGCTTTGGGGATTCTCAGTTGCATGAAATAAAATTTAAGATGTACACAGAAACTCCCCTTTTCAGTGGCAATCCTCAAGTAATGTGCAGCTTTACTCAGAAGTTAGACCCAGTCGGTTCCAAGGACTTTTGCATAGAATTATGGCCTTACAGCCAAGCACTAAGTATTTTAATTCTGGCACATGCCCCACTCAATTTGATGGGCTTCATTTCCAGGCAAGTCCATAGGACTGCAGGCCAGTGTTGCAGTTTCAACTCTTTGGGGAATATTGGACCCACTATTAACCTTGATGCCATCATCAGGCTTGCCTCTTCCTGGCACTATGCTTCTTTATGATCTCATTATTTCCCTGTGTATAGTAGACATTCCACTCTTGGATGCACACCTTAATGTGGTGAGAGGGTTTGAGAGTAAGGCAAACTGACAGCAATGCGTTCAAGGAGGCTAGACTGTCTCGTGGTCAAACCAAGACACTAGCCTAAGATGATCCACCGTCTTCCAGAATAACTGTGACATCAGCAGAATGGAAGTATCTAATAGTGATGGAGGCAGACAAGCTTCTGAAGAGCAGCTACTGGGCAGCAGTGGTGGCTGAAGGCAACTCTATCAGATGATCTTTCACAGACAGTGGCACTGACACTTAAGCTAACCCTTAAGTGCACACTATAAACCACTTCTAAATGCTTCTTATCTTGAAAGCCCACTGATGAAACAATTCAAAATGAGATAAGTGATAGTGCCAGAGGATGAGACACCTGCCCCCACCCTCCAGGTCGGAAAGTACTCAATGAGCTACTGGGGAAGAACAAAGGACAAGTACCAATAGCATGTTGCTAAGGATGCAACTAGATCAAAGCTGAAAGGAGATCTAATGGCTGACATGCACAGGGGTGAAAGGAAAGTTTGATGCTGCACAACACACAGAATTGGAATATGGCACATGAGAAGCATGAATCAAAGCAAACTGGAAACCGTAAAGCAAGAAATGGAATCGTTAAACATTGCAGCACTTTGAGTAAGTGAACTAAAGTGGAATGGAATGGGACATTTTTAGTCTGACAAACACAAAAGGTGTTTTACTCTGGAAATGACACTCAGAAGAAACAGAGTAGCTCTAATACTGAAGCAAGAGGACGCACAAGCAGTAAGGAGCTATCACACCAAATCTGACAGAATAATAGAATTTGTAGAAAACCTATCAATATAACCATCATTCAAGTCTAGGCTCCAACAACAGAACATATGCTTGTTTTAGTAATAAGGCCCTTCTGCACAAGCATACAAGCACATAAAGCAATGGTGCTCTCTAGTTCAGCAGCATTTCAAGCACAGCCAAAGCAGGGATTTATTTAAAATACAATTAACTTTGCCAGTGGCTTGTTGATCACTTTCTCAAAAGCGGCCCAACAATACAGATCTCGAGTAGTAATAGCATCCTTAGATCTGCATCCCAGTCACTGCATTCCTGGCCTGTTGTTGGTATTTGCCTAACACACACTTTATTCTAGGAGATGCTGGCAGCAGAAACTTGTTGAAGAACTGAGTTTATGTGGCCTGTTTAGTTTTGTCTCCAGCAGCTAAAGTGATGTTGCATCTTTTCTTCTTCCTCCTGCTCTTGCTGCTGTTTATGCCTCTGCCTTGCCCATTCTCCACCACGCATGCTCCTTGTTCAGATCCTGCCTCTCCTAAGAAATGCAGAGCCCGCTTTGGCCTCAACCAACAAATGGACTGGTGTGGTCCATGCAGGTGTGTATCAGAAACCTTTGCTTTCCAGGTGTGTTCCTTGTGTACAGGTGGTTCTTCTCTTGTGGTTGTATTTTCCATGCACATTTCCTAGAGATGCCCTTGCACCTAACACTACTAATAGCACTCCTTAGGTTTACCTGTTATGACCTGTCAAGGTTTTCCATGGGTTTCAGAGTATTGCCTCCAGGTGCTTTCTACTTCTAAGATAGAAAAGTAAAATGGGTAGGAATTCTTTATGTAAAATACTTCATCCTAAATGTATAGAGAGCAAGGACAAATAACCTGAAAGTCTTACTTTCTAGCCAAACATGAGCAAAAAATAAAACACTGAGAGATGGAGAGCCAGTGTGGCGTAGTGGTGGCAACACTGGACGGGGATTTGGGAGCTCCAGGTTCTAGTCCCTTGCTCAGCCATGGAGCTCACTGGGAGGGTCTCAGCCTAATTTACCTCACAGAGTTGTTGTTGTGAGAATAAAAAAAGAGAGAATTATGTAAGCTGCCTTGAGTTCCTTGAAAGAAAAAAAAAATGTGGGGTATAAAATAAGCTCATTGTAATACAGAGGGACTGAAATATGAAAACGGAACTACCAGAATCCTTTTCTGATAGGGCTCTGTGGATGCTGTTCTAAAACAATTCTGCCCCCCTAAACAGCTACAAGCCTTTCCTAGTTGCAAATCCAAAGGGGCAAGAAATGGGTGTTGACTGTGGCTTCTAAGGAAATAAGACTTAGGGAAAGGGGTTTTCAAAAGGTTTTCTTTCTCAATGGTTTCTCAGAAAGTTTAACCCATGAATGGCAAAGTAGTATTTATTCAGAGGAACTAATTTGTAAATGCACTTCCAAACTACTATACGGATGACTCCTCCAGAATGCCTAGATACCCTTCCTACCATTCCCAGAATGCTTGTGCAGAGTGGTTGTCTGTATTTACTATTTGAATGAAGAAGTGAGAGCCAGTTATCTACATTGGTTTGTTAATGCTTTCTCTTCTTTTATAAGTTGAATGGGTAAACCTATCCAAAGCAACCAGGAGCCAAAATACAAGAGTATTATTCTGACTCCCACGTGACAAGAAATTGAACTAATGACAGTTGTAGCAGCTTTGTTTTCCAAATGTCTGATTTAAATGGACCAAAGACTCAATATAGCTTCCATGTAGCCTGAAGTGCCTGATCCTGCCCAATCTTGGAAGCTAAGCAGGGTCAGGCCTGGGTAGAAGTGGGATGGGTGACTTGAGTGTATGATTCTATGATTATTGCTGTCAACTGCCTAGAGAGCTTTGGCTATGGGCAGTATAAAAAACGTAATAATAATAATAATAATATCATCTTGCTTTTGGCTAGCATGGTATAAAAACTACCACGTATGGCAGTCATATAAATTTCAACCACCAATAATTCAGCTGTTATACAGTCTGTGTCTTCAAGGATACAAGAAAAGCTTTGGGGGCAGTTAGGTACTATTAGACATTTTTACTATCTCATTCCTCATCCATTTCTGCACCCAACTACATTTGCTGTTCAAGTCCTTTATGGTTTGGAAGCACAGTATCTAAGGAATTGCTTTATCCCATGTGTTCATACCCTGAAATCTTCAATGAAAACCCTTGAGTGCCCCCACCAACTGAGTTATGGTGGGTGGTTTTTTCCACAACTGAGCTCTCCTTTATTGAAAGCTCTCCCCAGAAAGGCTTGACTGGTGCCAACAGTAATGTCTTTGCAGCACCAGGCAAACCCTTATCATAAAAGAACAAGTTACTGAATGAGTCAACAGTAATAAAAAGTTTCTTCAGGGCATGGAGATCTTCATGGTTCTGCAGGCCTGAGAACTTACACCAGATACACCAACAGATGGACACAGTATTGCGAAGCTTCCCCCCCCCCCGCCCCCTCCCTCTCCCCTCCCCACACAAAAGACGCTTTTCTGAAAGATATTATAAGCCATACTTTACCAAGAATTACAAGCATTCCTTTTCCAGGTTCTTTAAAACATGACAGCTGTTGCTTATCCCAAGACTTCTAGTGGTTTTTAGAAATATCTCTACATAGTTACATAGTTCTCCACTCCTTTGTTTTTCTCCTCAGAACTATAACCCTGTGAAGTAGTTAGGCTGAGGGTAAGTGATAGGACCAGAGTCACCTCATGGCTCATCTCAAAATCCCAGATCTGAAAGGTCTCCAGTCCAACATTCTAACTACCACACTGGCTCTCATATGAACAGACTGCATCTGCAGAAATGTACTACTGAACAAAGGGGGCAATGTATTTGGATAATAAGCAAGTATCTACTAGGTATTTTTACCAACACTGTAACACCTGATTCACTCACACATCAGGTGACACTCACAGAGTTTCTGCCAGAATATCCAGATTTTTCAGCCCAATGAAATCATGATTTTTTAATAAGTTGTATTTTTTCAAGGTACATATTTCAGTGTGTGCTAGATTTGTGGAACTGTTCTGGGAGGAGAATGGATTCAGTGAGCTAAGGGAGAGTGGCACTGAAAGAAGAGGAAGTATGCTGTGGAGGTTAAGACAAAACAGCAAGAGCTCTGAGGAGGAGATAAGGCTGATCAGCCTTCAAGTTGCTTTTCCTTTCTACTTGCCTACCTCCCCGCACACAGCCTCTCTCTGACTTGCCCAGTCACCTGGAAAGTAAATGCAGTGCTACTTCATCTCACCCCAGAACTAAATGCTTATTCAAATTTTAATCCCATTATCTTCAATGGCACTTGCTCAAAAGTGAATCATATTTACTTCAGTGAATCAGAACAGGAGAGGGGCTGCAATTGCAATTAGGAATTACATTCAGGTGGAGGAGCATGGAGGTGCTGACCCCACTGACATGAACCCATGAAAGGTGAAAGAGTAGCCAGGAGGTAGGAGGAGTTTCCATCCCCTCCCCGCATTTTTTAACTCCTACAGACATGCACATAGCTAATAGTTGGGGGGGGGGGGTTAGGACTATTTCCCATCACACATTTCTATTCCAGCTTTTTCCTACTGCATCCGAAATTACCTATGTGTGTGACACAAGATCACCTTTTCAACACAGTGGAAACAGTGCTGCATTCATAAGCATTTGCCCCAAGGATGATGAAAGAATTTTGTATAAACACTATCACAGCTCTCACTGAGAAACAGAAGGGACTGGAGCACAGATCTGCCACCAAGTGGTCAACAGGTCTCAGCTGTACTAAATAACTACATGAAAACAACCCCCCACCCAGGCAGAAATCTTAGGGAAAATTTATTTCAATTACTGCTACAGGAATCTTTATTCTTACCATCCCAGAAATAGTAGCTATATAGGGTAGACTACAGTTGGAAGAGAATAACTTTCATTGTCAATAGCACTAGATGCTGACGGATCATTTCCTTAAGTTCCCCAAAGAAAGATTCAATTCTGTCTATGGTTTTGAGGGCCACATGTTATGTGTAACTTTTTGTTACACAGGATGATCCACATATAGGATGACTATTTGCACCATCATCTCTAAGAATTCAATAAAGGATTTATCATGCAGCAAGAAGACAGATTAAGAAGTTAATGCACAGACTAGTTTGCCAACCTATTTATCTGTGTATTTCAGAAATGTTGTGTGTATACTATAATTAGATAATTTCTATGAAAGGACAGCATCAAGCCTAAGTATTCTTCCCTGTGGCTTTTCTGTTTCTTTCCAAGTGGTTGATCAAATGCTTACAACCTGCAGATCTCCCTTCATTAGTTTTAAAGTCACATCTGATTACCTATTTACCTTAAAATAGACTGCAGTGCTATAGTTGTGCTGCCACCCAGTGGTAAAAATATGTCAAGCAATTTTTAAAAATGCCTCTTCGGTCAAATAGTGGCACATGAAATAATGAAAATGAACACATGCATTTTCCTCCACTGATAAATGCTTCCTGTATTTCAGAGCTATAATTGTAATGAATACCATAATGTTTTCATTTTAAGAATATGACATTGTAAATTCACCCTTTATTTACAGATAACTCTCTTCACTGTTCTTAGGAGGAAAAAGAAGTGCATTCGGTACCTACAAGGAGAAGGACGCTGTGCCAGCCCAGTTTCTTCCGATGGAAGTGCTATAGATTCCCCTCCCTCCCCCTTGGATGTGCCCCAGTGCACATCCTCTGCTTTTACTTCAGACAAGCTTGCTGTCCCTGCTGATGTCACACACCAAAACCAAGCCACTCTCTTCCCTGTATCTGTGCATAACAAAACTGCTACAAACACATCAGAACTCACTTCTAAATGTTCAGCGGTGCCTCATATTCCCAGAGCACCCAGTGAATCCTCAGGGTACAGCATGGTTTCAATAGGAACATAGTACTAACGCAGCAACGATCAGCGAGGCTTGCAATTCATCAGGCACTTTGGTGAGTGGTTTAACTGCCTATGGAAGCTGCCCAGAGACATCTCCAGCCTTTCCACCTTGCCATCAAATGGTGATCTCAAAAGTCATGTGAAAATCAAGCCAGTAATCGGAAAACACTGGAGCACTGAAAGTGCTTTTCCTCTAGGTAAGCAAAGCATAAGTTTCTCTTAAAAATTAGAAATGAAGAGTCAAAACTTAATTCTTGTTGGAAAGTGAATTTCATTGCATCATCCATCTCACCAGCTAAAAAAAAAGCACACAGGTTTTTAATAGAAACTGAGAGGTGCTACAAATGTTGACACACAATTGTTTCTTGTATCCAAAGATTTGAGTTTCAGTCAGCACAGATATTACACAAGGATGCCAAAACAGGAGGAGCGCTTTGGTTTTTTACAAGCCCAAACGACAAGGGAGGAAATGTAAAATGCTGATGAGACAATGTAGAATACATTATTATACCTCAATCTTTGGGAGCAAGTGTTGACTTGAGGTAACAGGTTTCTTTACATATATAAACAGGAACTGGAGATTCCAGCAACTTGAAAATAGAAATTTATCACATGGTAAAAGAAGTATGCATGGGCTGCTTGAATGACTGCCAAGTATTCATTTTGATTACACAAAGACATGCACTGGGAGGACTGTGGCATTCCAGATACACAAGAACATCCAAGTTGTCTGCTAAGAAACCCTGAATGCTGCAATCTGTCTTAAGTATATAAAATTCACAAGTGCTTATTTTGTATGATTATGTTGTTAGTCATGGGAGGGAGGAAGCAACTGAGAATCTATACCGTCAATCACTTGGAATCATATATAGCACCCCTTTTGATTTCTCAATGTTTACTAAGATTCATACACCACACATTTTTCAAGCTTGTTGTGGCAGCCATAAAAACTAAAAGAAAAGCTGAAATTCTGATGCTGGCAAATTCTATACTCAGTATGCTGTTTAAGATAGAATGATGGAATGTGCTCAGCTCTGTCTGTTAGAAAGGGTATGCGAAGTAATATTAGACAGAGTAGCAATGCCCAAGAGCACTGACATTCCATTAATGGCTTAGTTTCTGCATCCCCTTTTGTACATTTAAAAAGCAGTTATTTGAACCCGCACTCCCTAAATGTCTTCAGAGGGCTAGGCAAGGTTGACTGCTTATGAGCACTAATGCCCGTAAGCATCACAGAAGTTGCTTTCCTGGGGTATTCATTAGAGCTGGCACTATTTTTTACAGAAGACATCTCCACCCCCCACCCCACCCCAGTCCATGAAATAGAATAGCATAGCGCTGTGAAGTACTGGAAAAATGATGGGGAAATGCACACTCTGAAAAAGCTAAACATTTTCAGTGATCAGAAAGCAGTTCTACATCCCTCACAGTGGTACATACTGTAGACCCCACTAAGAATGAAGCAAGCTATCACAGAAGTAAAAACAAAAACTGAACCAGAGCTAACACACAGAGACCATAGTGTGTAGAAATAAAGCTAAACCACACAATAGCCACTCCATCCCAAAAGCACTGAATGAAGCTGAAAATGGATAAAGGCTTGCATGCAATTTGCTACCATGCTAATATATTTAATTTTACCTGTTCTTGCTTCTGTGACATTCTTCTCTTAACAGCCTGATGGACTGGCAGTATCAAAACTTTTCCATTTGCTTGAACTGATGCCAAACATAACATGAGCTTACTAGTGATATATATTTCCAGGGTATATTTATAGAGAATGCCTTCCCCATTCTTTGTAATTTTCTGGCTATCAAATCCAGTTCCAACTATTTCAGATTTTATTTTGACTTGAAAATCAATTAATAGTGTGTTCGTACGCATGTCTACTCAACAAGAAGTCTCACTGCGTTCAATTAGGCTTAATCCCAGGTATATCAGGTAACAGCCTTAAAATCCCCCAAACAACCAGGTGAATCATAGGAAGTGATCCATGAAAATACTCAGCTATTTCGGATTTTCGAAACCATGTCTCTTTCCTGTTTGGAAAAAAAGTATTTACTAAAGGAGAAACAACTAACACAAGGATGGATTTGGGGGATTATCTTCTACTTTACACATAACTTTTTAAATCCAAGATACCAAATACCATAGAATAATTAATGCAGGGCTGTCAATGCAACCTGAAAGCACCTTCTTTAAAATCTGAACTATTCTTGTGTTTTAAAGCAAATGCACAAAGACCTAAAACAATTTGGAGTAAAAGCGCAATTTAAAGCTTGTTTGCACTAGTATATCCCCCTCTATTTCTAGCAGTATTCTAAAATATATTCCTAGACAATCCATAAAAGTTGCATAATTGTATTAACATGCAAGCACAACAGCACCGGCACAAAGGTACAAAGCTAAAAAGCCAATGTGATCCTATAGATTAAACATATTCTGACTACCATATACAATTGACATATTCTAGATTTGCTCCACTTCAGGTAATTTCAATCTGTTTTTCAGAGATGAATGGAGCATGTATATTTTTGAGTCTGTATATTTTCTGGTGAAATATTTATATACCCAACAAATGACATTTTTTCTTATTTAAAAATAATGTTTAAATGTTTTCCTGTCATTTTAAAGAACAGCAACATTGAAGCAAAACACAAACCTGTAAAAGCTGGTTTATCTTTGCTTTCTTCCTTGCACTGATGGTGCCTTCCCTCATGTACAGATACATACATGTGAACAAGTACAGCATAGGCTAACACTATCACCAGCTAAAAACTGAAATCATGTTGAAATACATTTCAAGAAAAAACCTAAAAGGCCAAGATCTAGTAGCAGCTGCATTAACATTCAGTTTCTTACTTGAAAAGATACTTGAAAACATGCAGTTTATCCAGAAATCTTTAGATAAATGTGCAAGTAATATTCTTATCTGAGGGCTCATTTTTCAATCTTCCTTTACAACAGAATTATGTTCTTCTAAATCAGAAGAAATCAAAATTAGAGGAGGGAGCTGTATTTAGAAGAGAAACAGAAAATGATGCCCTGCTCCTGAATCAGTAAAGAAAAAGCCCTAGGTGAGAATAAGCCATAAAACATGCAAGATGCCGCAAAGGCACAAGAATCCATTCTGCAAACATCCCCCCCCCCACACACACACACACACACACATCCCTTTTTCTCCCTTGGTGTATAAATTCTCTCACTTATCTGGTGCTGCGAAATGAGGCATCTGTGTATTGCAACATTTCATCTGAAAAAGTTAGGCTTCCCTTCTAGATTTGCAAGACAACATGGAACGAGGTATTGGAAAGGGACACTCTTAGAGCAGACACTGCAGCTCATACAATGGGATCCTGCTATTATGCTACTTCTACCTTATCTATCATAGGGAATATGTATCGAGTTTAGATCTGCAGAGACATAAAGCGACATAGATAGGAGGCCTTCTACCAATTCCAAACAAGAACAAAGGAAATACAGGAAGCATCAAGCAGGAAAGTTTACGTTTAAATTCAGTGTAATTCTTTTGAGAGACAATGAACCTATTTCAGTTCTACATTTAAGTGAGCACTCTGCAGTTGTTGACATAGTTGCCTTTTAACAGGAAACAGGTAGAAATCTGTGAAAGGCCAGCCAACAGTTTAACCCAACATAAAGAAACTCTTCGACTGCATGGTATACCTCAGTTTCAGGCCTGGTTAAGGATGGATTAAAAGAGTGTACACATGTGGCAAGATTCTGACCACTTCATTGTTTACATACTGATGGCAACTTACCAACAGCATGTTTCCAGCATATGTTAAGCAGTAGCAAGCAAAAGCTCCTATACAAATGTTACATATAAGCAGTTTAAAGGGAATTATCAGGTCCCAATTCAGGAAGAAATGATAGAACAGCCATGACCTAAAACTATACTGATGTGTAAAATAAGTTTTAGTTGCCTGTTCTCTTCCACTGCTTTTAGTCACGGAGCTTGAGAACTAAAAGGAAGCAGGTGAAGCCCTGATCCAGAATCACTGGAATGAAAGCAAAACTAGACCCCAGAACTCCCAGCAATTTAATACCTGTGCAAATAATTTGCACTAAAGTAACACCATCTTGAAACTCTACTTTGAAGTACCACTGAATTTCTCCTTCCAGAAAAATAGGGCTCCTTCCAGTCCTATCTTTAGCTCAGAGCATTCTGAAGTTTGCTAATATCCTTTGCCTGAAGCCAGCATAGTCTACAAGATTGCTGATTTGGGCAAAAAATGGAGCTGGATTAGGTAACCTCTGTGTTAATAGGTGTGACTGATTAACATTTTTGTATCTAGGAAGAGAAGCTTTACTTTTTTAAAGTAAGACTTTAATACCCATTAAACTTTGAAAAATACCCCATAAAGCAATTAACAGATCCAAAAACACAAATGTCACTTATGCCAAAATGTAGATCTTTAGAAATGCTATGTGAAGTCTTTTGTATCAGTACATTGTATTGTTTGTAAAATGAAAGCATTGCCCTTCGTATTTTACTCAAGAGTTTTCATTGCAATTCTCTAATTACATATTTGATTTCCTGAAGCCTGTTTGAATGTACAAGTCATGGAAATACCACTTTAATAAGTCACATTGAACCTCTGTATGTATGTAGCAGGGAAGTGTCTTTTATTTGTTCAATGATTATAGCAACTATCATCTGTTGTGTTTTTTTTACTTCAAGCTTGTATTTTTTGGCTTTTACGTTCAAATTTTGTTTATGGCTTTATAAATAAAGTAATCTACCAGATTGTTCATTCAAAAATGGGCAACTGGGGACTATAATCCCATAAAAATGACCTGCTTATGCTCCCTTATTTGCCTATGTTTTGCACTCTGTTATCGAAGTACCACCACTATCTAGATATAGGATGCAGTGTATGTGTAAAGAAAAACTACTTTGGTCCATAAAGAGTAATTTGAGTCTATTAAAGGTGACAAAATTGCAGTACTGTTTGGAGTTGGAGGGCAGTAATAATGTAGGCATGTATTTAAAACAAAGTCAGTCAAAAGCAGTGTATGTTAATGGCGTCACGGGCACACTTCTGCCCATGAATCGGTGGCTTTGGATCCAGATGTCCACCTGCAGCGGGTGGTGCGTAGAACTGGAAACTAATGTTGCAAATATTGTAATGCAATCTGGACACACATTCTGAAGCCCTTGTTCCCTCACACAAACTTATACCAAGCCTTATGCTATTCTCTATATTGGCAATTGTGCCCTATTGACTCTCTCAAAATAAGAGCCAGCATATTGATTAGATCATGCTTAGTCTATAAGAAACAAAATGTTTTCTGCTTTAAAAAAAACCAGACGACAAAAAAATCCTCAGTATGCTGGGGCAAATTAACTTTACTCCACAAGTATCCCATAGTATAGAATGGCTAGGCTCTTAGATGCTCCTTAATCCATTGCAATGTCCTTCAAAGTCCAAGTCCAAGTCAGGACCAAGCACAACAGAAGAAAGCAAGGTTTGCCTGGCATGATGCCCCCCTCTGGACAAAGTCCTTCAGAGCTTACAGAAGACACTGCCAACATGCAGGTAACAAATGTCTTGCCTTCTTGCTATGCTGGCAATAAGGTCCTTAAGCCCTAAACACAAGAGGGAAGAACATCACAGATAAGCAACTCAATTATTTATGTACAATGGAAGAACAGGGAAGGGATAGAAGATACTCCCTGACACACATACTACTGGAGATCTTCCAAGGGAACAGACTGTGAAGACAGAATAGGTTGAGATAGCAAAGGTAGCTGTATAAGCACAAGAACTGCAGAACTGATTTCCTGCTACCAAGATAAACAGCTGTTAACAGTCTGTGCTTTTAGTCCTCAGGGAAAATTCAGAACTGTTCCCAAATTTCCAGGCATTCAAGATCTCTTCTCAAACTGTCTGACAGACCAGACCCCGTCAACAAGGAATGCTATCCTTCCCTGCATCAGTCCCAACTCCCCTCATTATGCTTGCTATGCTCACAACAGCCTAGTTAACTGCTGTCTAGAACTCAGATCAGCAGTCCTCCATTAGGTATGCAAATATCTGAGCAACTTCCTTTTTTGCAGAGACCTCCACAGGAAACATCTGCTACTACCCAAAGACAAATTCCAGTTACTGAAACCAGGTACAAACTGAATGTTTTATGGAATCCCACCGTAGGCTCATTGGGGAACAAGTACTATTGGAAAAAGAATCCTAGAAAATAAGTGCATACATACAACCCAGTTTAAGACTCACCAAGCTACAGGATTAGCGAAAAGGTAGAGACACATTTTAGACAGACCATTGGGGTAGGGTTTAAACAAGGAGTATGCTTTTATTTTGAAGAATTTTCATTTATTGGTGTCTGAAGCTCATCTTTTTGGCAGCATTTTAAAGAGACGTGCTTGTTACTTCTGAAGATGGCTAGCACTAACACAAATAGTTTTGCAGGTTAACAGCAATAAAAGCAAAATTGCTTGCTATAGCTATTTGTTTTATGATCCTTGCCAGATTTGACTCCTAGTATTAAATTCTATATTAAATGCTCAAAGGTCACCACTGATCTCTGAAGTGAAGAATATTTATTAAGACTTCATTCTAGTTTTTTGTGCATACAGAAAATGGAAAGCAATACAAGCTAAGGGAACATTTTGCCGCTTACTCTGTATCATCCCCCTAATCTCTACAAGGGAATTGTAAAAAATAGAAAAAGTTACTTAGCAACTTGTCTTTTGATGGTTGTCCATGAAAAATCAACTCCAAAAGCATCTCCATAACACATCACACTTGTAACACAAGTCACTGCAACTTGAGTATTGATGTTCAGCATTGCAAGCTAAGACTTTCATAGAACTATAAAACCTATCAAAAAGCTTTAGGAAAATACTGTAGCTTGCCTAATAGAGGGCACCAACATTCTATGATTAAGAAACACTAATGTTGGTTGTCTGTTTTTGATCACATAATGGGATTTAATCCACTGGCTTTGAGGAATAACCATGTAACTAGAATTTCCATAATAGAACATAATCTTTGTTATCCAGCTGTAAGGGGGTTTAACTGGCCAGTTCTCTTTGCCTACATTATACCATCGAAACTGACCATTAAGAAGCAAAACTAACAATAACTGTCACTAACACAAATGTTATAGAATGGAAAAAATCCCAAACAATTCTTTCAAGTCGCTTTCCAAGAATCTAATAGTCTGTGAATGAAAATAGGCTTCATTAATTGTTTCAGAAAACGTTTGCAAGTGGTTTTATTTACAATGCCAGAGGTTTCAGAATTTGACATCCTACATATTTTATTATTACAGTGACACATTTAAAAGCATGGAAAGGCTAGCTTGAAGTGCTGGTTGCCATACAGAGTCCACACTTAGTTTACTTTTATTCAAAGCAGAGGAAAAGTAAGGACATCAGTTTTTATACTGATAAAAACTCAACCATAGGATTTAAATCTATAGTCAAACATTACACATGCAAAGAGAACAACACCCTACTAGTACAACTTCATTTGCTGCTGCATTTGTCTAATATTAACAATTATAAACAGAGCAGTGCAACTGGCATTTGGAACGATCCTTACAGTGTTGTTAACGTGTCAGGCACAAGACTTCACTTCTCTTCACACCACTGGTTCTCTTTGCGTACCTAAAAATCAAAACAGACTTAGTGATTACATTTACCATGCTCAACATTTTTGAATCCTAGTGCAAAGAGTGAATATACCCAAATTAAATGTTTCTTCTGGTATAATAATATTTTTTCTAAAAAGCAGGAAGTGGGGGAAATCAAATACTCTGATAAGCTGCTTAGATCTCCTACAGATGAGATCTAGTGCCACTTAAAAACAGAGTGCGTAGAAGCATCACATGTTGATCAAATACCAGCATACAGAGGCTATTAATACCCTAGAGATGAGTGAGCTCTACTTTTTTTTAGGGTTAACACCCACATGAGAGAACTCAGGTGACAAAACTGCCAGCTGTAGGCTATCAACAGTATTGCATCTACAGACTTGCACAGTACCCTAAGATGTTCTTTGCCAAACAGATATCCTCAGAATACTTGTACTATGTTGTCCTGCCATGAACAGCAAAAATCAGCCAGAAAGTAAAGAGCCAAATAAATTGGCACCACCAAGTTCAGTGGGTTTTAATTCCATATGCTGCAGAACTGTGATCTTCACCTATCGCATGCACACTCTGAGATAGAAAAAATCGGGAGGGCCACTAGTGTCCTATCTCCCCACTCCCATCTTGTCCCCAGCAGTTATGGCCATCTTAGTAGGGCATCAGCTTCCCTCCAGTAATGACCACCAGAGCAAACAACTAGCTTCTTTGCAAAGACGCAATCATCACTACTGCATAGATATGCTTAAATGGTGACAGAATGCTTGACACCTCCCTTTTGTGCACAAGTAGCACCATTTTGTGTATGTAAGCAAGAGCAGTCATGCTTGAACATCATAAATAGAGGGAACATGTACCCCCAAGTACACATAGACAAGGGACGAAAATGCTGTGTTAGCTCCTAACTGCCAAACTGTTGCTTTCTCTTAGGATGCAGAGAAAGCTTTTGACAAATCTTATTGGAAATACATTTATTATACTGAGTAATTTCCTGTGAATTTTTGAAATTGGTTAAAATTTTATCTCTCAACCTTACAGCAAGAGTCACAACAGTATTTTTTCAGCTTTCTTGTTACTTGGGAGAAGTACCAGAGATATCCACTTTAATTGATATTTATGTTCGGCATGTACCGTTAGACAAAATAAAAGTATTCACAGCTTTGTGCATGATAGTTTAGAATTCAAAATTATTCTTTATGTACATGATCTCTTGCTATTTATTTTGCAACTCCAAATGTCCATTACAACTTTAATGCAGTTATCACTTTTGGTGAATGTTCTAGCTATTAACAGAGTAAATTCTGATTCTATGGATGCTAATCAGAGACAATAGATACCGTAACACATCAGCTGTCAATTTTGATGAAGTTGAGACTTCATTACTTATTTGAAAATACTTATCTCCAGAGACGTGTATCTAATGATTATGGTAAATACTAACAAACAGATTAATGATACCTCATGGGCTATAGACAGATGGGCATTGCACTGCTAAAGTTGAGTTTGCAAGTAAGGTTAATAAACCTCAGATTAAGATTATACCTTGATTTGCCGTATGTAAAATTCCTCAATCTGGTAAATAGTTTCAAAAATTCAGTTCTCTATTTTATAATTTTTTCTGGAGTTCCTCTCCACCATTAATATCCATGAAAAGGGGGCAACTTTTCATTAAGGCAGGCAGGCTTGGCTCTTTGGATCTTGCTTTACATCATTGCGTCTATTTGCTGGCTACTAATTTGGGCTTTTCCATGCAGTTTTCCTACCTTAGCCAGTTCTGTATTCTAGTCTGGATCCTCTTTCCAAAAGGATGCCCATTAGGGGATATGAGGTAGATGAACCACATTGATCACATTTTGATCATTTTTGCCTGCTAAATTAACCTCACCACACCAGCCAAATGTAAAAATTGGTAGGAAAATGGTTTTGTGGACATTTCAAACAGGTAAGTCTTTTTGAAACTTCAGATCAATCATTGGAATTGATAATGAGTAATATTTTTAGATTTCCATGCCAAGTACAATCTGCCTACTATAGCAGAATGTCAGTACTTGTACTCAGATTTGCCAGAATCTACCGTCACAATTTCTTCTGCTATTAGGAACACTTATCAAAGCTGATCAGTTATATGACCTATAAGCTATGCATACAGATATTTATTGTCCATGAATAAATGAAACCAAAGAAT